TTATATGAAAGTTATAGCCCTCGATAAGATCTACATATTTCATTTAAAAAATATTTTTATGCGACGTGAAATAAGAAATATATGATTTTTTTAAAAAAGGTTAAGCTTGGTACGTGATTAATATGCCCCTTAAATTTTGTATTATTTTCTTCACCATTTTAACAAACTCAAATGAAAAACTTCGAAACTAAAACTTGTAAATCTCATTGATAGCTAAACTTTGATATGAAAAGTATTTCATTTGACACCTTTCAAGAAAATATAATTCGTGAGGGGACAAGCCCCGGTGTACGATTAATATGCCGCTCAAACATTATATTATTTTCTCGAGTATCTTAATGACCTCAAATTTAAAAACTCAAAACTACAAAGTTGTAGATCTATTTGAGAACTACAACTTTTATATAAAAACTATCTTCATTTGACACCATACGAAAAAAAAATATTGTTTTTCTAATGCGACAAGCACTAGTACGTAGTTATTATGCTGCTGAAATTTATATTATTTTTTGAGCATCTTAATGTCCTCAAAGGAAAACAATCATAACTAGAAAGTTGTAGATCTCATCGAGAAATACAATTTTCATATGAAAATCATCTTCATCCGATGTCGAAGAGTTATGATTTTTCGAAGGGAAATTTTTGCTCGGTGACATCGCACAAACGTCTAATATGCTGCTGGACACTGCCAACTCCAAATATTTCTAGTACCATTATGAAATCGTGATTCTTTGCCACTGGACAATGCACCCATTAAAATATTCAATTTCGTGGTTCAGTAGAGAGAAAGGGTGGTGAATAGACCAAATTGCCCCTGCGAGCCATCTTGCACCTCTGTCCGTCAGCCATGGCAGAGTGCTGTGCGCGTTGGCAGGGCTTCGGCTGGGCGCTCGTGGGCCCGCAGAGCTGCCAGCCGCCACGCATAGCCGCTCCTTGCGTTCCTGCCGCGCCACCCATGGCCTGCACATCCATTCCTGCCGTGCCGCCCGTGGCCTGCTCCCTCCGATCCTTAGCCTCGCTGACGTCGTGCTAGGGGCGGGCGGGGCCTCGTCGGGGGTGCAGCCATGGAGGATAGTGGGGATAGGGGCACGGCTGGGGGACAGGGACTTGGCCAGGGGCACGCGACCTCGCCAGGCGCCAATCGACATGTGGCCATGGTGGCGGCGGCGCACAGTCAGACTCGGGACGGCGCGGTGAAGAGCTCGGGGGAAGGAGGTGCCAGATGTTGAAGACGAGGGTAGTTTAGACATTTCCCCCATATTCTCTCTCTCCAAAACTGAAAATTGAATAAAATAATCTGTATGGTGTCTCTAGGCAAAGAACCAGAAATTTGTAATGTCCGCCAGCAAATTTTGACAATCCCTAAGCAAAGTTTCCCTTTTTCTAAAATCGAGTCTTGTCACGCCACTCCCGGTGGCGTGACAAAACAATACTGTCACGCCAGTGGGAGTGGCATGACCAGATTTTCCACGTAAGAAACAATACCGAAGCTACGCAAGGATGGAACAACAGGAATACACCAAAGGCAGAACCGTACGACTACACAAAGGAGTTACGCTAGGACTACCACGACTAAGATACAAGAATGCACATAAGTCTAGGGTTACGCTAGGACTACCACGACTAAGATACAAGAATGCACATAAGTCTAGGGTTACGTCCGCACTACAAGTTACCTGTAGGAATGGAGCCACGACGTCATAGAATCGCTGCAATAGAACTCTGATGCTTGCTATAAGGCCAGTGGCCCAAGCTATATAAACACAAACTCTATAATATGTTTTCCCTGTTAGCAATAAAAGTATCATTTTTTATATCAGTATTGTCCAACCGTGTGTATCAGCTACTGATCCAAGGACTGATACATGATGCACAAATGACCCTAAATTTGGGGCCCGATAGCACTCCCTTTGATCTCCGTCGGTGACGGTAACTATTGTTGTTTTTAGTACCGGTTCTCTTGGGGAGACATAGAGTTGTTTGATACCCACTGACGCCATGTTTCAAGTGTTTCAGGCGTTTTAGACTTATGTTTCAAGTGTTTCATCTGGATGTTGCAAAAGTTGATATGGAACGTTTTATATGTTGCAGTGACAATATATGCGTGTTTCCAGTCTAGTTCAAAATGTTTTAGTTGTTTCAGACATATGTTTCAAATATTTTCATCTGGATGTTGCATATGTTGTTATAGCTGCACACGCATGTTTCAAGTGTTTGTTTTCATGTGTTTTAATTGTAAAAGTGGATCTGGATGTTACATATGTTGTTATGGCTAAATATACATGCATGTTTCAAGAGCATGTTTCATATGTTTTAGTTATATATTGCAAATGTTTCTTCTATATGTTTTAAAAGTAGATCGGGTGTTGCACATGTTGCAATGCCCGCTGGTGACTGGCGGACAATGGCCTGCTGCAGCCGCCTAGTGCTGCTGTCAAGGCGTCATCGTGGTTCACTTGCGGGTGCGGCAGCCCTGCTGCTGCTACCGAGGTGTCGCCGTGGTTCACATGCGGGCGCGGAGACACGGTTCCAGACGCTGGCGCGCAATGTGGGCGGGCGCGTGTCGAGTGTAGGCGCCGAGCTCCATCCGCCCGCTGCCTCTAGAACAGGATTTGGCGCAGGGTGAAGGGAGTTGCGTGCATCGTGCGCGGTTGTGGGATCCGGGCGCTAGTCGTCCCGATCTAGAAAAGTTAAAACGTCTTATAATTTGAAACACAAGGAATACGTCGCAAAGGGGCACTTATAGCAGTACACCTTCTTGGGTTCATACTATACTAAAAACATCTCGAAATTATCCGTACTGAAAACATCTCGAAAATAACCGAATTAGTGGGCTCCTCTGGATGAGTTGTTCATCCAAGAACAGATTCATACTTTGTTATAGTGGGATCAGCTTGTGGTTGTTACGCCGTGAAATGTTGCACGGTGCAACTTGCACCGGCCGCTTGATCTTTTTGTCTTCTCAAATATACCCTTAACCAAATACTAGTTGAGTCTAGGAGTACCTGGTAATGAAGATAAAAATATAAAATGGTGCGTCATGGCCCTTTGAACAAGGGCACACTCTTCAGTCTTCACTGTCCATCGTCCTAATCAGCCAAATTCTAATGTGAGCGCCCGTGCTCTACTGTCGGGCAACAGTCCATCATCCTAATCAGCCAAATTCTAATGCGAGCGCCCGTGCTCTACTGTCGAGCAACAGGAAATCATTCCGTAAACCATAAACCGCAGTAGTGTAGAGTTGAGCTACGGGGTCCAGACTCAGAATGAATGGATGATGCAGGATACAGAACACGGACCACATGACACAAAAGAAGCCACCAATTCCCGAGCAAAATTCGCCTAACGCATCGCAGTTTCTACTTCATGCAAAATTTAATTTTCCACCAGCGTACCTGTAAAAAAATGTGTTTATGATCATAAAAGCAAAATTGAAATACTTCCCCAGAGTACATCCCGTAATTGGACAGATGCCTCGTCAACAAAACCGAAGAAACAAGCTCTGCAGAAAAATTGTATCATGGTGCGTCGGAAAAGCACTTGACATGGTAATACAGCCATGAAACCAGTCGAGCTGTAAGGCTACGCTTACTCTTCGCCTTGTGAGTTGCTTGCCCTACTAAAGATTCTCCACTAACGAAGTGTATGTATGGAGCACCTGATATCTATAATCCCCGACTGAAGATTCTCCTCCAGTTCAGTATTCACTTGCACAGAGGTACCTGCGTGCATACTACAGGTAAGAAAATTAAACTGATGTACAAACACACAAAGAGTTGAATCGTTTTAAACAGTATACAAGCATTGTTAACATAGCAACTCAAGATAATGGCAGCTCAATGCCACAAACAGCAAAGCTATCCATAATGGCATGTGATGCCCCCAAAGTGGAAAATGTGAATGGCAACCTCTAATACAAAGGGGAATTTACCTCACAGAAACAACAACAACAACAACAACAACAACAACAACAACAACAACAACAACATAGCCTTTCAGTCCCAAGCAAGTTGGGGTAGGCTACAGTTGAAACCCATCAAGAGCCCCAAATCACGATTTAGGCACTTCAATAGCTGTTTTTCAAATACTCCTATTCAAACATAGATCTCTAGGTATATCCCAAGCTTTCAAATCTCTTTTTATTGCCCCCCATGTCAATTTCGGTCTTCCTCTACCTCTCCTCATATTATTAGCTTGGCTTAAAACTCCACAATGCATTGGTGCCTCTGGAGGTCTCCTTTGGACATGGCCAACCTACCTCAACAGATGTTGGACAAACTTTTCTTCAATTGGTGCTACCTCTAGGCGATCACGTATATCATCGTTTCGAACTCGTTCATTCTTGTGTGACCGCAAATCCATCGCAACATACGCATTTCTGCAACACTCAGTTATTGAACATGTCGAATCTTTGTAGGCCAACATTCTGCTCCATACAACATAGCCGGTCTAATCGCCGTTCTATAGAACTTGCCTTTTAGCTTTTGTGGTACCCTCTTGTCATAGAGAATGCCGTGCTTGTTGCCACTTGATCCACCCTCTTTGATTCTATGGCTAACGTCCACATCAATATCTCCATCCCTCTCAGAGAGCATCGATCCCAGATACCGAAAAGGTATCCTTCTTAGGCACTACTTGACCTTCCAAACTCACATCTCCTCCTCCTCTGCATAACTCCGCCAAAGTCGCATCTCATGTATTCAGTTTTAGTTCTGCTCAATCTAAAACCTTTAGACTCAAGGGTCTGCCGTCATAACTCTAGTTTTCTATTTACTCCTGCGCCTTTTTCGTCCACTAACACTACATCATCATCACGAACAACATACACCAAGGATATCCCCTGGTATATTCCTGGTAACCTCATCCATTACCAAGGCAAAGAGATACATGCTTAAGGCTGACCCTTGATGAAGTCCAATTTTACCTCACAGAAACGTTAAAAAATTACCTCACAGAAAAATGGGCAACTAACATTGTGCAAGGCAAACAGATGCTCATTATCAGCTCTTGCAACCACTAAAAGAATCTTGAAGAACATTGATATCCAAATTGCGGCCTGCAGCAAAATGGGCATGCAAAGATTACAACCAGTTCAGAATTTGCAAATGCTGAACTACTGAGTTTTGACTTTTGAGGTTTTACCTATGACAACTATCTTGTTCATGTGAGACTCTGTCTCAGACCATTTCCGAGCCGGCACAACTTCATAGACTTCCCTCACTGCCTGCATAAGGGCAAAATCAGAAATCAGTACTGACAATCCCTGCAACAAAATACAAAAAATGGCCGATAGCTTTAGCTGATCATGCAGTTCTTTCAGATTCTTTGTATGATGTAACAACCTGTAATGTATGAACTTGGTCTGAATCATGGATATATAAAATCCCTTTACAGCGATATATGTCCATACTAGATTTCTTTTCCCAAAGAAGATCTTCAAGCCAAGACTCCACCTGTAAAAAACAAACCACAACAGGGTATCAGACAAATATGCAAAAGGGACTGATAATTGGAGGTTCAAGTTCATTAGATCAAGAACAGAGAACCTTGTGGGGGGGGGGGGGGGGGGGGGGGTCGCTAAGGCATGGATACTAGAAAATATTAAATAGTCGTTCCCATTTAAAGTACTGAATTTTGTCAATTTATTTAGTACAGCTGACAGCCTGACAGAGAAAGTGTGGAACATCTTGTTTTGATGTATGAAGAAATATCTATATTCGAGACAGGAACAATTTATCCTACGAAATAAGAATGACACTTGATGTGGAACAGTGAGTGAAACAATTCAAGACATACTTTGAATAGCAAACTATGCACTTTATGTCAACTTTGTATCCTTGAATAAGAAATATCTTTCGAGCCCCCATTTTCTATATGCAAATGTCTTAATGTCTGACTTCATTACATGATTCTTTTGAAATGGTTCATTTAAGGAGAGAAAGTACCTTAGCCAAGTTAACAGAATCCTGCTCATAGATGCACAAGGTGGAAATACTGTTATCATGATGCGGCGACGAGGTGGCACTGATTTACTATAGTCCAGCAGTTCTTGCAGATGAGATGAATTCTAGTGAAAAGAAGGAAGAAGTTAGAATTGCATCCCTGCAAGATCAGACCAATGCATATTTCTAGCATATATAAAGCCTTGCAATGGACAAAGAATCAGCTTTGCAGAATTGTTTTCAGGTTGTTCTATTGGTTTCCAAGTTTCCATTCAGTTAGATAAAAAACTCAGAACATATAAGGATAGTGTTGATGAGTCGTGTAATATTTTCAATATCTAGCATATAAAGTATTGAGGATAAATTGCATTGCCATATAGTTGCTCAAGACTTCAACTTGTAGAGGATACTGCTAGTTAGCCACTTAGCCCCAAAGTTGACTGACTTGTTGGTTTGATATATCCTTCATAGTCTTTATGATATAGTCCATCTTTCTAAGCAGCCTACGGCTATAGACTATAGAGTTAAAATAAACTTTGACAATAAATATTCAAGTTGCCTAAGACATCAAAGCAGCTTAACCTTCAAACATTGACATAATTAAGATGAAAAGCTGAATTTAAGTTCTTAACTAGTTTACTAACCTTGGCACCATATGCTTGCCGGTTAAATACTTCATTCAAGTCAACCTGGCAACGGACAGACCGCACCACTGTAACCAGAGCATTCACATCATGAATGTGTTTTTCCAAATCCTCAAGATTGTCTTCCACTAGGTCAATTTTGTTCAATATCACAACGTCTTGTTACACGAATTTGACATGTAGTTATTCGGATACTGGAGTTATGAATTCTAACTGCAGCTGCAAGGATAAAAAAAAGGAAACTCCAAATTCAAGAAGTCAATATCCCAAAAATAAACCATGAAATGACAAAAACAAGAGAGACACAAAGGACAAGTTACCGCAAATGCAATTTGATGAAATGCTTCAGGGAACGAGGAAGAGTTTTTGTGCTCATCAATTTGAACCCTGAAGTTTTTTGCATCAATAACCTGCCAATAGATAACAAAAAATATATTAAAAAAAAGTCCAACGTGATATGATATGATATTCTAAATTGTGATCTTAAGAGCAACTAAAGGAAGCCAAGTACAAATAGTTTGCAGAACTTTTAGAGTATTATAAGAATGGGAATGGGAAATTTAAAAAGGAAGCTGCAGAGCAAGGTTATGCATGTGATCAGCAATAGTGTTTTCTACATCTCACAAAATATGGTTGACAACTGATCAAACAAAAGAAAAAAAAACAAATGTCACAAGGCTTAACTAACCGTAATAATAGAATCCAGTCTAATTGAGGACTCCAATTGATCGTCTAGCCAAAGAACAAAAACAAGTGGAGCAGGATCGGCCAATCCCGTTGTCTCAAGTAATATATGATCCATTCTGCAGGATACCAAATCACTCCAACATGTTAGGACAATTTGCATCATCGTAATTCAAAAGGGTGCTACCAATCCAACTTATAACATTGGACCAATGCAAGAGCACAACATAATATATCAAAAAATGAAAAAAATAAATTGAACTCTACAGCTTCATGCAGACTAGATAAGGCAAGCAACCACCATTAGCAAAAGATAATCGGTCTCCTGTTCATGAATAAGAAGGGTGTTGTGAGCCAAAAACAGGATGCCAACAATTTAGAGCTACAGCCAGTATGTCAATATCAAATCAAATTATATCACCAAATAATTTGGCCATATCAACAAGTAGATAAAAGAACCAAAAAGATACAGAAAGGAGGGCCCAAAATTCTGGAATCCTAGGCCACACTTGAATCCAAGGTATCCTTATGTAGATAGGAATAACTGTATTTTACCTATCCTTCCTCTGCACAAGCTGCTCAAGTGCTTGAACCAGACTGTGTTTTACAGAGCAACAGACACATCCATTGGCCAGCTCCACCCATTCCTCGACAAGTGCACCACCTTGTCCCTCATTGATCATCGCCCTCTCGACCCCAATTTCCTCTCCAAACTCGTTTAGTATCACGGCAATTCTCTTCCCATGTTGTTCATTCAAAATGTAGTTGACTAACTGAAAGTTCCAAGTCCAATAGAAACTGTTTTAGAGTTCAAAGTCCAATAGAAACTGTCAAGTCATTAATCAGCTAATCGAGAAACTGGCTAAGAAACTTAATGTAACACACTAACACTGCATTAATAGATACATAAATGCTACCATGAGAAAGCATAAGGTGAGCTACACCTATGAATCAATTATGTCAGAAAACACTGAACTGAGGATGACAATTTTCAGAGGAGCTGTTGCGGTAAACTAGTAATCCTATAGTTTGTAACCATGATAGGGCACAAAATAGATTAAACCAGGATTCAATTTCGTGAGATTAGAAGTATCCTATCACTTTATCAGCGAGACTTTGTACAGCGAATATTGGGTACCCAGCGATTTGCCTCTGATTCTATGAAGCGCATGCATGCTGACGCGCCTACTTCACCAAAACACACGGTGGGGGAGAGGCGGCGGTTAGGCCGTTAGGGTACGGAACAAAATCTCACCGTCGACTTGCCGGCCCCGAGGTAGCCGGTGATGATGGTGACGCCAACTGGCGAGGCGTCTGAGGGAGCTTGCGCCGGAGGGGACGGCACCCGCGGCGGGAGCTCGACCTCCATGGCGGCGGCGAAGAGCGCAGAGAGACGGGAGCGAGGGAAAGCTCGAGAGCTGCTAAACACTGCTTTTTTCTTCTCTCTCCCTCAAAACGGTTCACCGTCCGATCAGCATCCGAAGGCTCTAAGAAAATATTATGCGCCCGGTTATTTGTGCGTCTATAAAATTTTAAATCGAGGGGCATTTTTTTCAACTTTAGCGAAAAGAAAGATGATGTTTTCTTTGTTATGTGATGTGATGGTCGCCATGGCATCATTTTTCAAGCGAGCTTCTTGAGGAGCCGTAGTACTCGATCCCTTGGTGTCAAAATTAAAGTCATGTAACGTTTTATGCGGATCAAACTTTCCTAAGTTTGAATTTGTTTATAAAAAAATATTAGCAACTCTACAAAAGCTTATCATGAAAATATATTCAATAATTAATCTAATAATACTTATTATACACCATATTAATATTAATAATCTATTTTTTTTTCTTAAATACGCAAAAGGTTTGCGTATCTTTGTATTAAGATAGAGAAATAGTGAAAGTTACGACGACGCGCCACGAACATGGCACACTAGTGTGAGGGTGTTAGTGTTATACAATCGGCTCTGCCCTTCCTAGCATGAGAAGATCATGAGCTATTACTCGCTAATCATACTACGTAGCCATTATCGACGATCAGACGCGCTGACGTGCGCGGCGCCTCGGATGCTCTCCTTGTGGGTCCGGGAAGAGCTATCACATTGTCTCAGCATGCGAGGGGTTGAGTCAAGCGACGAAGATGCTATCGTGATGCGCTCTTGGGACTAAGTGGAAGGAAGGCCTCGTCGCCCATCAAGGTAGCTCATCTGCTTCATCATCAGCACTTCTCCCCGCTTTGAAACCGGGACGCGTGAAAGCGCCTGAGCGGCAATCCTTCTGCTGTGAGACGACAACCTTGGTTGTGCCTCTACATCTGGCTGAGACAGCAGTAGCGATGACATCTTACGCAGGATCTTTGTGGTGAGCCGCTTTAACCTCTTGGCGGCGGAGCTCCCGCGTCCCTCGCGATGTGTGGTCATGTCCGCGGCTGGGCGGATGGCACTAGGGCTTTGTGGGCGCCCTCGTCCACCAATGATGCATCCCTCATCTTGAGGAGCGATCGTCGTGACAAAGTGGACACCCAGCGCCGGCAGCTTCGGTGGCCGGATCACGACGCGCAAGGCGGCGAACTCCTCTAGTATTGGGTCGATCCACTCGTGAGGTCCCTGCTCACGCACAGCTCTAGGACCAGCGGATCTGGCTCGTGGGGGTAGTGTGCAACAGCAGAGGTAGTAACATTGTCGGCGGAGGCGGCAGGTGCATCCATGCTGGTGTCGCTCGCCGGGCTTTCTCCAGCGTCGCCAGCGTCGTCGCCGGCTTCTACCGGTGCCTCCCGCGGCCCCGACCAAACTTGGCGGGCTGCCGTGTGGCATGTGCTGGGGGGCTGGTGGCTCATGTCTGCGAGCAACGTCACCCTTCGCCTTCGCCGTCGCAGCAGACCTGGTCCGCTTGTAGTCCCTAGCGAGGTGGGCGAAGTCGTGGTAGCGCAGACAACATCGTGGCAACCAACAAGTCGCTACTCTGTGCGAGTAGGAGAGGCAGTTGAAACATCTGTCGCGAAGCTCTGCGGGGATCCTCCGGGCCGGCGGGAGCTGCTCTTGGAGAGGCTCAACCGAGGCGGCCGCAGGTCGCGTCTCTGCTCGGGGGAGGATATCCCGCCACCCATCGGCGTTGCGAGCGGAGACCCGTCCGCGCCGGGCGAGGCATTGGCGGGCAGAGACGCGGCCCTCCACTTGCCGAGCAGGTAGGTCGTGCACTAGCGGGGGATGCGGCCGTCTGCGACTCCGCCGGCTTCATCCATGTACGTGACGTCTCGTGTTCGTTACGCCCACGGCCGAACCACAACCGAACGGGCTGAAGCCTTGGCGGGACGCAGCTATTACCGACTTCGCGCCAATCGACGGACAGCATCCATGTAGGTTGTGGGGGGTCATCGTCGGACTCCTCGCCGCCGTCGTCCGCACACCGGCGACGCTTCGTGCGCCCTACCGAAGGCGGGTAGAATGCGGCCGCGTTCGGGGAGAGCGTGGATCCTGGCGTCGGCGGCGGGGTGTGATGGAGAGGGATGTGCGGGGCGCTCGAAGGTCGCATCCGTGGTGGTGCCTCGACGCTGCTAGTGGCCGTGGCTGTGGGGCCCGGCGTCGCTAGCGCCGTGGACGAGGCGGCGACAGTGGCGGGGAGGGCCGCGGCGCTGGAGAGCTGACCGCAGTTGCCACAACGGCCTCCGGGGAGCCCACGGACCCAAAAGACCCATTCTTGGACCCGGACGATGCGGATCCGAGCAGATCAACGGCGCCCAAGAACCTGCCGCCTCCGGCGGCTGTTGTCGGCAACAAGGCGAGGCCCAATGGCCTTCATGCAGATCTGTCAGACGCTGCCCTAGCTCGGCGACGAGCAGCCACACTTCTGGTCGTCGCCCACGCCTCCATAGGCCCCGGCGTCGGTGGCGCCTCTCACGCAGCACCGGCATTAGGGGCAGCGCCCTTGGGAGGGGTTGCGGTGGGGGTAAGGAGAGAGGGGAGGGGAGGTGGAGGCGGCCTCCGCTGCCAGAGTACAGCCGACAACGACGGCGGCGGCGGTGGCGCCCATGTCGGGAGGAGGCACGGCGCGGGTCGTGCTCGCTAGGCGGCGTGGTGGTGGGTCGCAGGGAGGGAGGAGGAAGTGGAAGGGAAGGGGAGGGGGAGGGGTGGGCACCGGTGCCGGGGAGGCTGCCGGCGGCGGCAGCAGCGTGGGAGAACCCGCCAGGCCCACTAGGGTTGGGGGCGCATAGTTAACAGGTTATGCCATATATATTTGGTTAAAGTTAAAATTATTTGACTTCTAGAAAAAATGAGAATGATACCCTTTGTTGGATGGAGGGAGTTGGGCTTTACTCAAGAAGCTACCAGCCGAAATCTCTCAAGAAATCATTGGCCTAAGCTAATTAGTAATTCCTTCACATTTCTGTATTTTTTCGCACTTTCAATAGTTTTGCCCAATCAAAATGCTAACGCTTGATTGAGCATGTATTTAGGCAGCTCCCACACTCAAATTTTGCTCTTCTATCACTTTATTAATGACCATCTTCTTCTATTACTGAATATATTGAAGCAACGAGCTTTTCTTTTCTGAATAGTTTTGGAACGGAGTGTGTAGGTTAACAGCGTTGCGTGTCAAATCATATAGCGTTTTTTGTGCCCTTTTCTTTTGCAGTACTGGTTCGATGAGGAGATTCAGTCGGTTTGTTTGCTGCTATCGTGCAATGCTATCAAGTGGTTGTGTTGATGGCTGCAAGCAAACAGCTATTGTTCAAGGAGCATTTCAGTTGCCTTTCCCAACTTTTCCTGCCAGTATATTTTTTGAAAGGAGAAACGTTGCTTTTTTACAAGCTGAAGGCTCCGATTTCGCCTCTTTCAATGAGGATACCCTACCAGTACCTAATTACCTTGGTCAGCTATATTCACTGATTGTTGTTGTGTTTTTTTATTAATATTAATCCAGTAGGGGCTCCTTGCCCCTCCTGTTCCTTCCAAAAAAAAAACTGATTATTTTTGTATGTTTTGCATCACTCATCACATACTATTATCTTCTTATTAGGTAACCAAGCTTCTGGATATGCTAACCCCAACCGATTTAAGGGCTTTTATATTTCTTTAACCACCCTGACGACAGTACACTGAAAAGCAAGTAGCATATACTCGTCTGAGAGCAACATTTGCTAGTTGCTACTACAGTAGTACTAGAGTAGAGACACAGCAGAGGCATGATTTGTCACACATTTCGGGGCATGTAAAAAAGCAGTAGCCTTTCCTTGAAGAGTGCAACCAAAGCTTGGCTGGTGTGATCTTTTGCTCACTATCCAATCAACCCGGGCAATTATTGCATTCTTGAATTCACTCATACATATAGTGAACACTAACTTTGCATCTGCCAGCAGTCCAGTATCATCATCTAGTAATGAGTTAGCATTAGCGATCTTGGGCACCTCTGATGGCAGTAAAGAAAAAAGAAGAAACAAATAAAGAACATAGCCACAAAGTCAAAATGGTTAGCCACAATTTATGGCATTTTGCAGCTAGTGGTTGCCGACTAATCCGGTCACAAGCACCCAATTAGAGCTCCTATCTTTGAGACCCCTCTCGCCTGGCTAATTTTAGCAGCATTGTACTGACCGCTGAAGCAGGCAGATCTGGATCTGTCCTGGCTGCTAAAGAAAGGTTGGTTTGTGGTTACAAGGCAACAGAGCAATGGCTCCGTGTGCAGTGGTGAGAGGTGTCTGGTTTGGTTGGGCACACATTTGTGGGAACCACTAACAGAAGTTGCCTGCACACCATGACACCAATGCCCTCTCATGGCTTTGTTTATGGATGAGTACGTATATGTATATATATCCTCCCATTGTCTCTGCAAGCAAGTCATTACCCAGAGATGATCGATATTCCTCTGCAAGTATATATATACATATGCATATCCTTCTCGTCGCAAGTTGGAGTGTGACCCGGGCCTTTGTCTAGATGCAAGAAGAGCTTGTGACAGCTCATTTCCTTCTAGGCTTTGGCTTGTGGGTTGTGGCACCTGCTATTCCAAGGATGTCTAGGGACATCATTGCTGATCAAAGATCTTACAGTTTGTTTCGGAGTGAAATTGGAGTAAAAAGTAGTGCGATATAAAATGCCCTGTTGATTGGAGGTGACCAATTCATGTCAATGCTAATGGAGACTAAGAAATTGCACGGTCGAGAGCTATATCTAACATCTCCTCTTACAGCTAATTGTAAAGACAAATGGAAGCTAACTGGCAAATCGACTAATTATGCCCTTATGCTCTTTTGATCCACAATGGTATTCTGAAATATATTTTCTTCAAGACTGCAAGCACCAGGAAGACAGTCATGAACATGCGTGGACCACTGCTAGAAAGTACAATTCAGACTCTTGCTTGAAGCACATCAGCTTGGGTCTGCACTATGCAGAATCAAAGCCATCAATCACAGACTGCACACCGATTGGCTCTGCTATATAAGTGGGGTTTCATAGCCATCAATCACAGACTGCACACCGATTGGCTCTGCTATATAAGTGGGGTTTCATAGCCCAGTTTTCAACAACCTATATTTTAGAAACAGTGTAAACCCTCTTTACTTCCATAGAACTTTCATCATCTCTTTCTTCATTAATGCAGTACCATGTCAGCGTATTTAATGCCTATAAAACTCCTATTAAGATTGGCCTAACTGTGGTCAAAATGAGGCCATCGCCCAATCTTTCGCGCCATAAAGAAAAGAGAAGCCTTGCTCGACTTGTGGGTTACCAACATCGAGAGCTCCACCTAATAGGATAGGATGGGGAAGAAGACCGGCATATGGCCGTGCGTGGTCCCATCCGACTGGCACCCATAAAAAGAGGTGCTTGGAGATCGCCATCGCATCTACTTCTCAAAAAACCGTAACCATCAAGCGTCACAAGAATTGCTTGCATCTTGGCAATCGTATAGTAATTATAAAGATGCATTGCATGGTATTCATACAGTATACACGCGCGCGCGCTTCATTCTGCACAATGGATATGGACCTATGGAACATTGTTCTCTGGATCTCTGATGTGCTAGTTTACTGAACTGAAGCAAGGAATGTGCTACTAGCCTACTACACAGATGTGACCTGAACAAACGCGCCATGAGCACAGCTGGTAACACCTCCGGTCCAAACAAGAGAAGGCTTAAACTCCTGCTGGATGCATGCGAACTCTGTGCTCTGGAATTGAGGACTATAGAATTTCGGCAGCCGGCAGGAGTTGCAGCAATAAGCAAGTGGCCTGTGTGCCTCCTAAAGCAAAGCTAGTTCAACGAAGCCGAGCAAGAAAGAGACATGAGCAACACAACAATCGCGTGAGCTGTCTGTGCGTCTCTACTCTCTAGTGGGAGAAACAGAAGGGAGAGAAAGATGGCATGATTACGATTTTTAAATCTATAGTGAGGGAAACGTAAACTATCTCGGAGCAGGCTTGCTAAAGCAACAAAGAAGACTAAGTGGGGATGAGAGACAGAGAGAGAAACTGGAACGGTGAGTGAGAAGACTTGTCCAGTGTTCTGGTGGACAAGTGAACAACCCCTCTGCACACTGCACTGACTGATCCCACATGCCATCATACACATGCATGCCAAATCTCTTTCTTCAGCAGTACCTATTGTTGCATAAAGATTTGCTGTTCCACTGTCCTAACCAATCATTTTGTCACTAAGACATATAGTTTGCAGCTCCTGAGCTTCCATCACTGTACTCCTCTCGTCGGCCCCTCCCTTGCTTGAAGCTGCTCCCCTGCTGTTTCGGCTGGCTCACATACTCGATACCTCCATTGATCTAGCTTGCACAACACAATGCCATCTAATCTTTATGCACAATTTGCGTTGCTTTGCTGTCTGTCAGAGAGGGGTGAAGTACTGTACTCTTGTTGCTTGCTTCTCTCGCTGGTATGAAGTGAACCGTAGCAATAGCATGCAGAGCCGCCAACCAGTAGCATGACAGTACCGTAGTACACTGAGCATGCAGCGGCTGAAGCAATTGGTTACTTTGAGGCAACAATTACCTCAGGTTGGTGAGCAAAAGTAGGAGCAGAGCAAAGGCTAGCATTGACTCAGAAATTCACGGGGAACTGCTAATGGACTTGAGCAAACAGATGGCAAAGTTAAAAATAACAAACTGACCGAGTAAGCAGATGGATAGCTTTCGAGCTAATCTTAGCATCCGCTAAACTGAACCAGCTCGGCTACTCGAGCTCAGAATATCATCATAGGCAGGCTTATTGATCTAGTGCCCTGAAGAACAGAACTGCTAAAGGAAAAAAAAAACATTAAGTAACCTGGGAGAAAACTCGAACTCTTCTTCTTAATCTTCCTCCTCCTCCAAGATTCCCTTAAGCTTGGAAAAAATGAATTGAATTGAATCAATCTGTACAGAGCCACCATTGATCGCTTGCGGATCAAGCTTGGTTCAGTACAGCCATCGCAGCCGAGCTTCAAGTCTCCTCCGGTGCAGCCGGTGGGAAGTTGAGATCAAGGAACCCGTCCGCGGCTGCTGAATGCTGCTCCTGGTGGTCTGCGCCGGCACCGTTGACGTAGTACAGCTCGACGTCGTCGGACTCGGAGGGCATCAGATGCGACCGCTTGTGCCAGCCGAGAGCCTGCCCCGACGCGAACACCCTGAAGCAAACCGCGCACTCGAACTTCGCGTCGGCCACGGCTTCGTCCTTGGGCTTGCCGAAGCCGATGGCCACCGAATCCGGCGACACGGAGGGGACAGCGTGTTGAACGACGCGTACGTCTCGGTGCTTGGCTCCGGCGCCGAGGACGCGGCGGGTGTGACCTTGGGGAGCTGCAGCTGGCGTTGATCCGCTTGTGGCTCGCGCGGTGGCCGCCGAGCGCCTGGTACGAGCTGAACACTTTGCCGCATCCCGGGCACTCGTACCGGGTCCGCTTCGGCGCCACGAGATCGCGCCGCTGCTTCGGGGAGCCTCGCTTCCTCCTCTTGGCGACGCGGCCCTTGATCTTGGCGTCGGCGGACTGGAGCAGAGCTAAGTCGTCGTCGGAATTGTAAGCGTAGCCGCTTCTTGGAGGCCCGCCTGCTTCTCCGCGCTCTCGAAAGGCTCCTCTTTGGCCGGCGAGCTCCACATGCCGGTGTCGCGCGAGAGCATCAGGAGGCAGAGCGCGACGTCTTCCGGCTCCTTCTCGAACCCGCTCAGCATCGGCGGCAGCGGCGGCGCGGGGGCCGGAGCCGCCACGCGCATCGTTCGGCGCCTCCGCCTAGGGGGAGCGGACAGCACCGTCAGAGCCGCCGGCGCCGCCGCCACAGACGCCTCTATCGGCGTCACCATCTCTGTTTCCTCTGCTTCCGCCTCCTCTGGGACTGGGACGAATTCCTCCTCTTCCACGTCCAGATCATGCTCGTCGTCGCGATACCTGCCGCCGGACGCATGGCTCCGCATGTGCCCGAACAGAGATCTCCACGACGAGAACAGCTTCCCGCACTCCCGGCACGCCTTGTGCTGCTCTCCATCGCCATCGCCAACGCCATGGCCGCCATCCTCCTCGTTGGCGAAGTCGGATAGCCGCCGGGTCTTCCTGGGATTCTCCTCAGCCCGTACCCGACCACCCATTGCAGCTCCGGCCACCGTTCGGCGAAGCACGCCTCAGCTCGTCGTCGGCGTGAACCTCCAGCGTCGCCTCGCCGAGCGAGATGTGCGATCTCATGTGTCCTCCGAGCGACCGGCCACACAGGAAGCTTTTCCCGCAGACCTTGCATCCATGCCTCGCCGCCGCAGCAAGCTCCACGACATCCATCATGAAGCAAGAAACGGTGGGATTGAGTCAGGATCGAGGGATCAAGAAACCGACCTGGAGGCCATCAGGATGCGATCGGGAGGAGGATCCGCGGCGCGTCGAGCGTCGGAGATCTGGGAGAAAGAGGGCGAGAGCAAGCTTGAGGCTAGCAGAGTGCTGAAGGAGTAAGAGGGGAGGAAAGGTAGGGTGGTGTGGTTAAGCGGGATGGTGGAGGTCGTGATCTGCTCGGAGGTTTTGTTGGGGCGACGGGTGCGGTTGGGGCCTTGGGGAGTTGGGGGGAGGAGAAATCCATGCATGGAAGCAAAGTTAAAAACCGATAGGAGAGAGAGAGAGAGAAGAGAACCACGTGGGCCCTGCAATGGAGACAGGAAGGTAGGTTACTTTAGAAGAGAAAAGGGCCTCCAACGTGGAGGGCTGCGCATCATAGTTTGATGACGTGTTAAATCTACGAGGAAGACACGTGGCCCCGTGGTGGTATCACAGCGTTTATAGTGTAAGCAACAGGGTTTTTCTTAGGCAATTGTAGCGGCACTGTTACGTGTATCTAAATTGCTAGAGACCTTGATAATTTTTTGCATGATAACCGCTGTGGTAACTCTATACATGCCACGAGGGTCTATATATAGATCGATCGACGAATAACTTCTTAGAGGCCCTTAATTTCTATGAGGTATTATCGGTGCAGAAAGTGACCAACACATAAATATTTATAGTTTTGCTGTACGTTGGGATCGGATGTGGCCTAACACTCAATAACACATGATTTATAATGGTTCAGGCAACGTGCCCTACGTCCCGTTTGAGTCGGTCGGTAACTTTATTCCTGAGCCTAGGTGCTCGAAGTTTGTTGTGGGGTTACAAACGAGAAGAAGTAAGATGGGGGTGCAAGAGGCCCGGTCGAACTCTGGTATGAAGGGCCGAGAGTGACGGGAGCTCCTACGTGCGCTGAGTATTTGAGCGTGTGCTCGAGGTTTGAACCTAATTGTTCTGTTGTTGTGTGTGAGTAAACTGATTGATCCCCTTTGTTGGGAGATAGGCCATCCCCTTTTATAGATGGAGAAGACGGCCTTACAAGCGAGAGAGAGTACGTATGCTACTAAGTCTTGTTGTCCAAGTTGTCGGGTTCAAGATGATTGTAGGCGCCCACAGTACTGTTGATGTCAGACGCATGTGGGAGGTTTTCACCGTAGTCACCAAGTACGGTAAATGCCGGCGCCCACAACACTGTGGATGCCCAGATGCATGTGGGAGCCCTTCCCGCGTTTGCCTGGTATGGGAATTGAGGACGCCCGCAACACTGTAGGGTAAATGTCGGCGCCCTCAACACTGTTGGGGTTCTGACATGCCTGGAAGGTTGCAGGGTGCCCTTCTGCCATGCCCTGTTGGTACTGTCCTGCAGGTGTATAGGGTAAGGTCCTCGGTATTTACGGTTGACTTGAGCGTCTTGTCTTACTTGCTCCACCCGTTTCCTGGTCCTCACCGAGCGGGTGTCCCCGGTCGGTTGGTCCCAGTCGGCTCTGACCGCGCCAGTCGGAAAAGAGCTGTAAGCAGAGGTTCGGTGTATCCCCGGTCGGTGACGCGGGTCAGAGTCGAAAGCGGCGGCGTTCCTCCTTTGCCAGGCCTTCCGGTCGGAGAGGCGGGCCGGAGTTGGAGGCAAGCGAACGTCGTTCGTCCTTGGCCAGGCCCTCCGGTCGGAGACTGGATCGCCCTTCTGGCCTATCGTTAGGTTTTTGGGCCGGCTCAGGAGTTGCGCGTTGTTCGCGACGTCGTCTGCTGGACCGAGCCTTTGCTGGAAAGCCGGTCCATGAAGGACCCCGGGTTTATGAACCCGACATGTACTATTTTTTCTCTAGAGATAGCATGGTGTAATAAGCTAAATTGTCATAGTCACATTCTATTACAGATATACCCTACAATTTATAGCATTTTAAATGAAAAAATATATGCATATAAAATATTTTGACATAACGTTTGTATCGGTGTCGGTGGGTAGACGGCGAACTAACGTTAGCAAGATGTTCACAGCAAAGGGATTCAAAAGACGAGAGCTAGAAGCAATTAGCTCAATCCATGTGAGAGATTACCAAGTTGAGACCCCTACTATGAAAAAAAAAACATACGTCCAGCGCGATCTTGAGCTCTCTCTCCTTGTGCATCAGGTTTCAAAGTTGGAAACCAAGGATCCAATCTCCCCCCCCCCCTAGGTAAGAGGAGAGAGAGAGACACATACAAAATGTTGAGGCTAGCCTTTTATATCTGAGGTTTGGCGTGCATTTCAGTACGCTTGCACACACATTATGGTATTACAGTAGTGTTGGTATAATACTATCAAATCGGACATATTATATATTCTAGTACACTCCAATGCTCCCTAGTGTGTTTGCTCCTATATCTTCGCACCGACGACACCGCCCCCTCTCCGCCCTAGCGACTTCTCCTTGGTGAGCCCTTCTCCTCAACACCCTCTTCCCGCAGGGGCAACCATGAGTCCATGACCCCCTCTCTCCCCTTCTCCCTCTTCGATGCTGACACACGGCGGCACGAAGGACGATGCCATCGTGATTGTAGAGAAATGAGTCTATCCGTGGATGCGTGAGAGAAATGGAGAACAAACGACCTAAAGGCAGCTCTAGTGCTAAATCAAATCGTAAAATCCATGCCACTCGAACGCAAGGAGAGTTCGATGACTCTAGCGTAGACATCGATTAGTAGGGTCCACGTACGATTAAAAAAAAAATCTTCCATCAAGTTCACGGCCAGGACCAGGCGGACTCTTCTCCAACCGTTCTTTGCTTCTCTCTGCTCACGTGGTGCACGGAACTGGTTATTTTATCGCTTCGGTTCAAGTCATCTGCGGAGTGTGATTTCTACACATACGGCTCGAATACTCCAGTGTGCGTGGTTCAGTCGGATGAGCTCTCAGTTCGATTTTAGATTACACTGGAGTTGCTCTAATGACGAGTGGATCCTATGAATTCGAGGGCTAGGATGTAGTGGCTGTTGCTGGAGGTTATGGTTGAATTTTAAGTGCTTTTAAACTCCAAGTGAGGACCCAGGGTCAGCAATGCTGGAGTCACCCATCCATCGCGCTACAGCGAAGCGGGAGCGGGGACAGAGAGAAGAGTATCCTGCGTCGCTCGCTGCTCCCTCTCCACCACGGCCACGGTGCCGAGTTGAGCGTGTGCGTGCGCGGCCATGGCATGGGCGCTTCGCATGGCCACTGGCAGCGCTCGGCACAAGCTGCGGCTGCGTGTCTCGATCGTTCTCGCGGCCCCGATCGCCACTAGTGGTCTCCAAACCGTCCGGCCCCGATCGTGCTTTGTGCGGACAGCGGCCGGCCGGAGAGGCGCACCCACGTACTAGTACGGTTGCATCCCGCGAGCCGCGCGCGCTTTGCCTTTTTGACACGCACGGAACGCAACATGCTGCTGCTACATGACGTGCTGATCTGCGAGTGGAACGGCTTCTTGCAAGCTGTAACCTGTTTCTTAATACGTGCCGATTTTTATATTATCATCAAGATGTGTATTTAAAAAAAAAAAGAAATCAGCAGAGCACTGCTGCCATGTCATTTAAGAACGAAGATAATGCAAGTTCTTACATAATCATCCTCGTAACTCGGAATCGGAAGTAACAAAACACAGGAAAGCAAAAGAAAGAACCGATCATCATTCATATCTACATGCTCGTGTTCAGCAAGCATGGCCCAGGCGGTCAGCACTGCGCGGTACTACTTGCCAAAGCTAAGCGTGTGTGTGACTAAACAGCCAGTCGAGCTGACGGGGGAACATCCGGCTTTGTTCGTGCAGCTGCTGCTCAGGCCATGCATGCAAAAGCACCGGTCTTCCACTCTTCCCCGTCCGGTGCCGTCGTTTTCCCCGCGCCTTTTCTGGCAGCTGCAGCATCAATGCATCGCTTGTGGTTTGCTTACAGGGTCCTGCTTACGGGGAATCTCTTGCTGAAACTCAGAGTCCTCGCATGGTTATGTACGGCCGGGCCATCAAGCGATTCAACAGCTTACCCGAAATTCGAGTAGTACTGAGAAATACGAAGACGGGGAAGGAATTCAATGAGCATATAAGGCCGAAATTTCATCTGAGCCAGAAATGGAAGAGGGGTCAAAACCGGAACTCGAGCAAGGCTGTCGATGGGCCGCAGTTTGTTTGGGTCGGGAATAACTTTACGGCCAGTTTAGGCTCTACATGGGCTTTGCTTTATCGATTGGCCCAAACAGGCTTCAGAGTGGCCTAACCATCCGTGAACAGTAAATACGGCCCATCCATCGGAACAGACCTCATCCTTCGCATAGAAAACCTCGCAACACAAGCCCGAGATATTTAACTTTTTACCATTATAACGGATGGCACCTCTTCAGATAGCATTTTTAAATAGCTCCTATATATTTACCATTGAGAGAGAGCATTTGATGCATTCTTGCAATTTTCTCTGATGTGGCACGCCAACTCGACCTGAGAGCCTAGAACGGCCACGGGAAATGACATTTTTACCCCTCATCTATTTCTTCTATCTCTATCCCTTCCTCGCTCGAGCTTCGACCATGGCCGACGATGGGGTCCATGGCGGCGGCTGCCAGGACATAGGGGAAGTTGGGGGGGAGGCAGCCGGGGCCACGCCCTGCAGGTCCACGGCCGCGCCCGACGCCGACGACGAACATAGCGGCACCTAGAGCACGCGCAGGAGCACGACCACCTTGGCTTCGGCGACAAACATGGCGGCCCCGTGCCTCCTCGTGCTCGTGCTCCTCTGCTTCCTCGCCGGTGGAGGACGCGTATCCCCGGGCACAGACGAGCTGCGCCGCGTCTCTTCGTGTGCGGTCGCTGCCGGTACCGGCGAGCCAGCTTCCCCCGCCGACGATGAACATGGTGGCACCTCGCCGGACCTAGGAGCTCACGCAGCCAGAAGGGGAGGAGCCGGACCTCGTGCACGCTGCCGGGGATGGGGGAGCAGCGACCGGAAGGGGAGGAGCTAGACCTCGCGCGGCCGACCATGGGGAGGCACGCCGGGGATGGGGACGCACGCGGGGTAGAGCCCACGCGCGGCGGATCTCGTGCCTGTGTTCGCCATCGGAGCAGCGCTGCTAGCTGGGGTGGTGCGCAGACCTCGCGCTCGCCGGCTTCATCTGCTACTGCTCGTGTCTCGGAGGGAGGAGGAGACGAAGCTGAGAGGCATGTAGGTTGGTATACATCTTTACCTAGCGATGAGGATAAGGACGAAGAATAAATAGATAAGGATAACAAATTCCTTTCACATCATACGGACACGCCACGTATGTAAAAATGCCTTAAAAGTTAAATATCCCCGCAAGACCTACCCGCGCCGCCGCCGCCCCACCCTCCACCGGCGCCGCGACGCGCTCTCGCAGCAGCCATGGCTTGGCAAGAATAAGCGTATCTCCAAGAGCAAAAAAGGCGGCAAGAAAAGGACGTTAGTTATCTCGCCCCGTCCTCCTCTGGCCCGGCCGCTGCCGCAGCAGGCCAGCCACGAGCCGGCCATGGCCCGGCCAGCCGGAGCTCCAGCCAGCCGTGCTGGAACTGGCCGCCGCGGCCTGGTCAGAAGCTCGATCTTCCAATTTTGTCGCTGACCCGTTTTCCTGCTGTGCCTGTGTCTCTTGCCTTGCAGCGTGGATCCGTTCAGCAAAAAGGATTGGTATGATATCAAGGCTCCGTCGGTCTTCAGCGTACGCAACATCGGCAAGACTCTGGTGTCCAGGACACAGGGCACCAAGGTATGCCTGCTCCTCTTCTCTTGCTCGCTCTGTCTGTGAATGTAATCGTTGCCTTCGTGTACTGTGATAAAGTAGTGCCTTCCATTAGATGTGTAGTTGAACTTTAACCAATCCATTTGTTCGGGTATTTGATTATTTGTTCAGTCAGGTTAAAGGGAAGTGAGATGGGACCTTTGTAGGTTTTTACAGTTGGTGTAGGTGGGAGTGATGTGGTCTATGTCCATGCATTGTATGGTTTGACTTGTATGTTGACTCAATTCTCGTGAAATTATACCAGCTACCGAGTTTGTGTGGATTTTTATATGATACATTTGATTTAGATGTCGTTCCTGATATACAGTAGTATCACATGACCTCTGCTGTGTAGAATTTTGCCCAGTAGGATGGGGTGAATGGTGATTGTAGGTTTTCATTTTTAGCTATAGGTTGCAACCTGGAAGCATGAATATAGAATTCTTTGGTGTTTATATAAGCACCATCTTCATGCCTGATTGCCTGATGTGCTTTTTGATTAACTATTTGTAGCATGTTAGTATAAGTTGGGCTGAAGGCCATAAGCTTCTTTTCTTTTAAATCCTGCTGATTATGCACTGATTGGATTGGTTTCTATATGCATCGCTATACTGGTACAGAATCGATACACATGTTATTATTTGGCTACAGAACTTTACCAAGCCTTTTTCTTGCCTTCTTAAGATATAGATAGATCATCTGTCATTTTTTTTTTGAACAGCGCCACCTTGGCGCAGCCTTCCATGAGGCCAGTTGCGGTGCGGCGGTTCGAAACCCCGCCGGCTACTTCCCACCCTTGGGAGCTTGCCACTGGCCCATCCAGTCATATGTCATTTATCTAGGGATGTGTACTTAGCTGAGGAACAATAATCTTATGCAGTTCTTTTAGTGTAGTTCTATCAGAAATTTTAGTTTAAAATATTCAATTTAAATTGGTATGTGATTTTTTAATTCCCTCTCTGAAATATGTTTTTTTAGATTGCCTCTGAGGGTCTTAAGCACAGATTGTTTGAGGTCTCCTTAGCTGATCTCCAGAGTGATGAAGACCAGGCATCCAGGAAGATCAGGCTTCGTGCAGAAGATGTACAAGGGAGAAATGTTCTCACAAACTTCTGGGTAATGATGTCTGGTTTAGTTCACACAGTTACCAGGCTTATGTTCTATATTATGTCTCTAACCATCTTGTCATCTTGTTAGGGAATGACCTTCACCACGGACAAGCTCCGTTTACTGGTGAAGAAGTGGCAGACGCTTATTGAGGCTCACGTCGATGTCAAGACCACTGATAACTACATGCTGCGGCTGTTCTGCATTGGGTTTACCAAGAGGCGGCCCAATCAAGTGAAACGCACTTGCTATGCTCAGGCAAGCCAAATCAGACAGGTAACAGTTCTGGGGATATCTCATGTTTATAAAGAGGCTTGAAATTCTCTTAGCTTGCCTGCTGTCTTGTTACATTGATACCATTTATGTTTGCAGATTCGACGGAAGATGACCGAAATCATGAGCAACCAAGCTTCTTGTGATCTTAAAGAGCTTGTGTCCAAGTTCATCCCTGAGGTCATTGGAACGGAAATTGAGAAGGCCACCTCTAGCATCTTTCCTTTACAGAATGTCTTCATCCGCAAGGTGAAGATCCTGAAGGCGCCAAAATTTGACATTGGAAAACTAATGGAGGTAACTACCTGAAGCAAAGTTTGTGTTATGGTAGTTTAGCATTGTGCCTTTTTTTTCAATCTAATAATGTTGTGTGACTCCCAGGTGCATGGTGACTACGCCAAGGAGGATGTTGGTGTTCAGATTGAAAGGCTCGCTGAAGATGACTTGACAATGGGGGACAGGAGGTTTCTGCATCCAAGTGATAGTACTAGAAAACACGGCGCCATCTCTGTGACGGCCACTGTTTATTTAATTTTGTGTAGTAGGATACTGGCTAATATGAAAATGCTAGATATGTATGTTTATATCCTCAGTAGTGCTTGAATTGGAGTACAATGGTGTAAATTCATTTGGAACATATACAACACCAGTGATTCAAGTTTGCAGTATAAAATTGAAGCAACAATATAGGAGGCCCAAGTTAAAAATGTAAACATCTCATAGAAGTGTCTTAAATTGTCTATCAATAAGAGAAAAATGTCTTAAGCATTGTTTATCAATAATGAGAAACAAACCGTAGAAAGCTTCTTTTTTAAGATTTGTATAAGCTGCTTATTTACAGACAATGGGCTTGTGGTATGGTCTGTCTATTTGATGGATAATTTGTGATTATTCAGTGATACGATATATAACAAAAGGTCTTAAGCAGAAGTAGTAATTGTAATTACTGAGAAAGTGAGAATAAAAAAAGAATGAATTCTCTAAATAAAGAGGTACACGTGATCTGCATATTCGTTGCTAAAAAAACGTGATCTGCATAATTTAATTAGCAAGTTGCATGCTATTTGCACAAAGGTCTTGGTACAAATAACCGAACTGATCTCGTTTAGAATTGAGTCCGAGTTATTGTTTAATGCGTAAATGTATGAAGATTAGTGTTTACAGCATACTGGAATTTGGCAGCGATTCCCAAATTGGCATAGTTAGATTGCCCAAAAGCTAAAAAGATTAACATATGTTTATCATCATTCATTTGCACTAAGTAAAATCTAATTTGATATACATAGAAAAACTGCAACGGGGTCTGGTCTGTATATCACCATTAATTTAAATCGTTCATATGATCCGCACTTGGGTACCAGTCAGCGAACAACAATTTGCCAGTGTCCATCTTGTGAAGAAAGGAGTGGGAACACACATGCTCCTCAAAAGAAAGAAAGAAAACAAACAACCCAACATGATAGTGAATACATATGGCCTGCTAGCGATAGAACAGAACTGAAGAATATTATATGATGAAGATTTACTTTGATGTAAAATATGGCACTTGCATTGCAAGGATACGAAGCTGGGTTGGGCATAAGTCTCTGATATAGTGATACGTTCCCAAAAATAGCTATCAAAGCATGAAATTGGTGCAAAGAAGGCACAGTGAAATCAGCTGTGCAAGGAATAGTTTGTGGCTTTGTGAACAGAGGATATCAAAATGTAAATTGGTGATACCAGAAGTGACACTGTGGAGTTTAATATTACTTCCCTAATCTCTTTCGACCAGAAGAATGACATATAATAACTTAAAATTAAATGTCCCCATGATGAGATTATCATAAATGGGTGCTTAGAATAGTATTCAGACTCAGAAAAACTCATGCAAGGACAAGGGACCTACTAATACATGGGCAACATTCCGTATCTTTTTTTTTTAGAAATATCAGCATATGTGCACAATGTTTCTTTAAAAATCAATCTCTCTTAAACCAGCTATATAATTTTCCATATGAAAATTACTTCACTTATAGTCAGACTGTGCAAGCAAATCTCAGCAATTGAATGGTGAAATACATACAAGGCTATGAGTTGTAGTTCTATACACTACCGCTAATATTTCTAGATAGCCTTTTTCTTTGTCTTCTCAACGTATTTGTCCCCTAGGCTTCAAAACTACAGTTGTTTACATTGAACGAAAAATAATAAAATCTTGCAGTTGGGAGTCAACATTGTGCAGGGCAAAACAAAGTTCCAGAAAATCCAAATATTTCATCAGTCTTGGATATTGGCAGAGTGAGGAGATCCAGATATGAGAGGCATACTACAGATCCTACTACAAGAGGAGCTACGCTGCATCTGCTGACATGCTCAACATCTTCGGCAAGCAGTGGGCACAGTAGGCTGGCCGGCCGTGGCTCGCAGTGGCGCTGCGCTGCCGTGGCCGCAGACCATCCGCTCGCGGTGACCATGGGCCGCCGTGGCCGCATGTCGGGACGGCCGCGCGTCTGGCCAGCCACGTCTTGTGCATCGCAAGCTAGCTAAGGAGCCTGTCTGGTCAACCACTCCTTGATCATGGCCCGAGTCTCGCCAAGCGAGAACGGCAGGCGAGAACGGCGGCGCCTAGCCTGCATCTAGCGGTCTAGCCTGCGGACCGACTCTCCGCGGCGCTGCCCGCGCGCGTGCCGCTGGTGCGGCTGCCGCGGTCATCCTGGCAGCCCGTACAGGTCCATGTAGGTGTTGACGAGGTCGTAGAGGGCGTCGTCATCGCCGCCGTCTGATCTGCTGCCCTCGGCCGCGGTCGTGATCTCGTGCTTGACCGGCGTCGGCATGGGGAGCGGCGGTAGCCGGACCTCTTGGGCGGTAGGCCAAGCGGCGGCAGCGGTTCGTCGGAGGTGCAGGACGGCGTGGAGCGCGGCATCGCGGGCGCGGCGCAGACCAGCGTACTGCGGGAGAGAGCGAGCGCGCGTGGTGGTCCCTGGCAGCGCCGGGCGCGGGGATCTGCCGTAGTGCGATTGGAGGCGTGCATGCGGGTGCGCCGGCAGCCTGAGCGACGGCGAGAGGGCGAAGGTACCCGGACGCGGAGCCGGAGGGCTGAACGCCGAGTTCTCTCGAAGTGTTGCGACACTATCAATGGGGGCCTCACTGACGGCCGGATGGCACCGTGCTTAGGATCGAACGGTGGTAAAAATAGAGTGACGTGGCCCAATGAGGTGGCCGAGCTTGGCTCAGAATTGCTGTTTACTAGTCCATTACGCGCGCGCCGGCAAGGTAGGAAAGGAGATAAAGTGGATTTTTTTTCACTCGATTCACTGCATAGATTGAATGGGGAGCGGAGAAATCCAACCATTTGGTGGAGCACACGCGGAGCTGCGGGAAGGGGCAGCGCGGGGGAAGCGGCGGCGGCGGCTACCGGCATGGGCCTGTCGTGCCGCTCCGTGGCCGAGGACGTCCACCGCCGTCGGGCCGCCCACCGTGGGGGCCCACGCGCGGCGCTGCGTAGCAGGCCGGGGGCGCCGTCGCCCCGCTAGCGCAACGCACGAGGAGAGGCGAACCTACAGGACGAAGCCGCGTCGGGGTGGCAGGCACGGCGGGGGCTAGCTCGTGGACGTGTGGCACCGTCCAGCGCAACGGTGGAGCCCATGCAGCCGGATCCAGTGGAGACAGGGAGGCCTCGCGCTGGATCCGCCTGCTCGGCGCAGATCCACCACCTCCGTTGCGGCGCCAGGTCCACGCCGCGCTCCAGCTTCAGATCCGCCGCCGGGAGGGGCCCCGCGAGCGGCCGCTTCAGATCCACCGCCGAGGTTGCTGACGTGACCTCCCCGTCATCATCCACGCCCACCACGGAGGTCCCTCCGCCTCCAGAGCCGTCCGGCGCGTCAGGGCCTCAGCTGGCTACCCGCGCGGTCGTGGGGACGACCGGCGACGGAGGGGCCAAACCCTAGGTCGCGCGACCCGCTGCCTTGCGTCGCGAGGAGGAAGTGGCGTGGTGGTGGTGGAGGAGGAGGAGTGTGGCCGCCGCCGCGTGGAGGGCCGGCCACCACCGAGGTCGACCCGCGCCGTCGCCTCAGTCGCGTGGCGACTCGGGAGCGAGGGAGGGAGCGTACAGGCGAGAGGATGAGGGCGGGCACAGTAACGAGACGGAGAGTAAATGAATGAACGAAGGTTCCAGAACACGCAGACCAGAACAGTAGACGAAACGAAATCTAGACGTCGAAGCGAAGATCCTACGGCTGTAAACGACGGGGGCGACGTGGCCACCTGAGCGGCGGCCAAACTCTCCTGCTTTGATATATGGAAATATGTTTATAGGCTTAAGTGAGATGGATTTCCTATTTGAAGCTGCCGTGTTACCTTGAAACACTTTTTTGTTGACATCTGGATCTGTGGCGGCTTTATTTTTGCTTGGAAGTTGAATATTTCCTTGCTATGCCAGGTTGATCTGCAAGTTATTTGCGCAAAGCTTCTGAAAGTTTTAGGAACATGCATGTGCAAGTAATTTGCGCAAACTTACATTACGCTCTAGTAGTCCAGTGGATCCCTTCACTCCCAACAGCGGATACTCAACGTTTCACGCCGAACGGTCGAGTAAGAAGACGTCGACAACAATAGCAAAGCGCTGGGGAGGCTTTGTATGGGATTCTGCAAATTTTCATCTAATTGCATGGTGTTGGCCTTTTTCAAATTGTGTACATTGTTGTCCTTTTACAAATTTTGTACAAATGATTTTGTCTTATGGCTTCACGTTGCCCTTGTAGAAATGATTGAGTGAAAAAAAAATGTTATACAAGCTTTGGTTGAGTTATGTGCGTGTTTTGGTTGCTATGCCTGTTAAGATGAGTTTGGTTGAGGGCAAAGTCGATGTGATATATCTCTACTATAAGGACCAATCAAAACTATATTAGGTCTTAAAAAAAAGGTCCCCCGCTGAGAGACTACAACCATTGTGCACCAATAAAATTGTACCTAGGATTACCGTATCATTAAAATCTATGGCTTCTAATCAGGCTTCAACTTGATCCGATGGCCAACGTTATTTGGATCTCCCCCGTCCAGGCTTCAACGCACGCCTCACACATCCCGCAGGCTACGGTAAAATGGAAACATATGGAAGTCAATCAAGGCAAATATGGAAGCCAATCAAGGCAAATAGGAAGGAGGGATCCGTGACTCCGATCAAGGTAATTTTCAGAATTGTCATTATAATGGAAAAAAACCCACGCTGAGCCCGACCCCATCTGACGCGCCCCTTCCAAAACTCTCCGTGCCGTTCTGGTATTGCGTCAATAAGGAATGGCGATAGACCTGCCAACATACCCACTCGCATGTTTCCGTCAAGAACACGTGGGGCCTGGTTTGGTGACCCCACATGTTAGTAGAAGCAGTGGAGCGTCTGCAGCGTGGCTAAACCTGGAAAGGTCTACCCCTTTCTTCTCATAAAATACCAACGGTGGCACCCTGGACAAGGAAGCAAAACGGGTCACTTACAGTCTGGGCCCATAGAGTGGAGATCGATGAAGAGATTTAGCACATTTGGTATCAAAGAGAGGAGTTAGACCACTGTGTTACAAAGAGAAGAGTTAGACCACTGTGTTATAAAAGTAACACACTACACGCCC